GCCAACTTGAAGGGCGCGCAGGAGGGCTGCCGCCTGAGCCACCGATCCCTGGCATCGACAGCTCTCTCTGACCCGCAGCGCTCCATTACAATTTGTGTTTTCTTCCTAGAAACCTGCCCCTGGCTATCATCATCTCGCTACCTGTAGTCACTTTGGTTTATGTGCTGACGAACTTGGCTTACTTCACGACCCTGTCGACGGAACAGATGCTGACATCCGAAGCGGTGGCTGTGGTAAGATGGGTGCATTTCTGACGTGACTCACCTGTTTTCCAGGGCTGGTTAAATCAGACTCACAATCTCTGCATGCATCTCCTAGCTTGTTCCAGGCCGGTCGTGGCTGCTTACAAAGAAAGCTGATGTTTGACGGGGATAAAGAGCAACTGTGATGGGAGCAGGGAAGAACAGCGGGGATTAATCACAGGCAATAGTAAGGGTGGGCAGTCGGTTAGCGCTGCTCTGAGTTTGTAAATATGCAAGGTTGCTGCTGGCCTCATGACTCCTCATCAGTTACCAGAGCATGATATTTATGGGAAAAGGTCATTCAGTCAATACTGATCTAGATTGTTCTCTCTCTCTGTATCTTCCTTGTTTGAATTAAGAGAGGAAAATAATGCTTCTGTTAATGAAAACGCCGTTGCGGTCAGAAATCCTGGTTGCTTCAGAAGTGAGAAGCGTGGTATGACCTTGCAGACTGTGGCCAGGATTGTTCAGGGCTTCAAGGGGAATCTCCCAGTCCAGGCTAAGTTGGTCTGGGCCATTCAGGTGACAGTGCTCCATCCTTCGGGTTAGCACCAAGCCCTGGCTCCAGCCTAGGCGGTGCCGAGTTGTTGGAGGTGCCAGCTCTAGCGCTCTCCAAACCACTCTAATAGCGGTGGCGTAAAACTGGAGCGAAGCAGCGCGGGGTCAATTTGTGACTGATAGAAAACTGCAGCTCCGGGTCACTGCCTTTCTAAGGGGCTGTGGCCTAGCTCCTTACTCAGCACTTGGCAATAGCTGCGTGTCTGAATCTCCTCGCAGTTTCCATTTAATCTTGAACTTTTGGATAGCCATTCTGAGAAACGTTGTGTCCTGACTCCGGGGGGAAGGGCTTGCCGATGTTTTTTTTTTCCACAATTCCGCAACATGGTTTTTCAGGAAGGAGGAGCAGAAAATGGCAACGTGGAAAACTCCGTAACGGCTTCAGCCCTAAGCCATGTCATTTGTCCAGATTTCTACAAATACTAAGTCTTCGTAGGCAGCTGTGAGTTCTTCTGGACGTTCTGGGTGTGAAATGTCTGTCTTGTTGCCCCCCATTTAGGATTTTGGGAACTATCACCTTGGCGTCATGTCCTGGATCATACCCGTCTTTGTTGGCTTATCGTGCTTTGGATCCGTTAATGGATCTCTCTTCACTTCTTCCCGGTAGGTTTCTTGCTCAATTTTGTGGTTTTTGTTTACAAGCCTTTTTGTTTGGAGTTGTCCTCCAAAGAGTGGCTGTGGGTAGACACAGAGTCTAAAGGGTCTGGACACCATGTGGGGAATGCAGAAAAAAAGTCCAAGACTTTAAAACCATATCCAGTTTAAAGGAAACCCTTTCAGTGGTCTTAGTCGTCTGTTCCTCAGGCAAAGTCCTGTTGAAGTTATTAGGACATAAACAAACGCAGGCTTGGGACTCAGTGATGTTGCCTGAGAAAGTGGCTTTAATGAAAAGCAGAAACTTATGAAACTTCAGGTTTCATAAGAGAATCCCTCCAGAAAGGGGAGAAAGGACGGGGCAGGATGGGGAGTGGATGGTTCCAGCTCTGACACACATCTCCCCGGTCATCTTAGGAAAGTCCCTTGACTGCTCTCTCTGGAAAGAAGGATATAAATACAGCTTTTGTTGCATTCTTTGTCCATCTCCAGCCTTCCTTCTAAGAGAGGGACTTTCCACTGTGGACGTACAGAACACCCCGTGCTGGGGTCTGACCCTGGAGGGCTCCACTCCTGAACCAGTGGCTGGCAAAAGGGCACGGCTGGCATCATGCGAGGCACCGCTATGTGCCTGGGTGTTTCAGTCTTGCTCTCTCAGCGCTGTCTAGGCTGAGCTTGGGCCATCCCCACTTGTTTTGGACTGAAGGCAAACCCCAGCCCGGGGCTGAAGGTTGCAGAGGCGATAACTGCTCTGTCTCCCCCACCTCAGGCTGTTCTTCGTGGGATCCCGAGAAGGACACTTGCCTTCAATCCTGTCTATGATTCACCCCAGGCTTCTCACTCCCGTGCCGTCCCTCATCTTTACGGTAAGCCCCTGGGTCTGTGGCGATGAGCATCACCCTGGTATTGAGAAACGGCTCGGGGGTAGGATCCCATCAGAGAGGCTGGAGGGGGGCCACTTGGGCACCACCTCCAGGCACAGCCATTCCTGCGTGCACCTACAGGAGAGGGTTGACCCTTCTCCTTCTCGTCGTATCCTCATATTGCGCTTCTGTTTTGAAATCACGCCAGGCACCAATTGAAAACAGCTTAAATAGGTAAAAAATAATCAACGTGATTCTTTTCCTGGCAGATAGTTCTCCTAAAATACGTGTGTTCAGTGCTGTAACGTACGTGGTTTTGCCTGCTCCCTTTGCTAATGGCTTTGTTTTTCTGGGTGCAGTGCGTCATGACCCTGCTCTATGCCTTCTCCAACAACATTTTCTCCGTCATCAACTTCTTCAGCTTCTTCAACTGGCTCTGCGTGGCCCTGGCCATCATCGGCATGATGTGGCTGCGTTACAAGAAGCCAGAGCTGGAAAGACCCATCAAGGTGAGAACAGTGTGGTGGTAACTGCGTGGTGGGTCCTCCCCGAGTCCCTCCTCAGTGCCAAAGGTTCCGCAAGTACGGCCGCCCGTCCCACGCGGAAGAGGGACTGGGATTGCCAACGGACAGGGGAGATGTTGTGTTGTAGCTAGTGCAGGTGTCCCTGCCGCACGGAGATCTGCTGAATGCGAATCGGTGGTGCAGGGGGATGAAGAGCTGCCGTGGCCATGGGGACATCAGAGTGAAGGAGGCTCTGGGTGTCAGCGATGGGAGGTGTTTCTGGTGGAGCAGCCCTGTGGGAAGCTCTCACAGACTACCATATTCCCCAGGACAAATCACAGGCTGTGAAACACTCTGTACCATCATGGAATTCACTTAAAATAGTTTTTTAATAAAGCGGATGAACCCACGCTCGCAGAGATGAGAACTTTGTTCGCTGTGTCCTTGGCCAGCTTGGCAGCACCGTGTCCCATCTGGGAGGAGGCCAAGATCGTGTCAGCCACAAGCATGTCTGCCTTCCTTAAAGGCATGTTTCTCCCTCGTTCCCCAGCACGCTCGGGTCTCTGCCAGACAACAGGCAGCCAGAGGGAAACAGACTCACAGACTTGTACCACTGCCTTCCCAAAGTAATTCTTTGCAGGGTGTTTCCTTTGTTTTGGGGGTTTTTCTTCGAAAAGCTGGGCTGCTCTCAGCTGCTCAGAGCAGCGTAGCCCAGTCCCCTGAGGAATGGCCGTGAGGATGCCGTGGTTTGTGCTGCTGCGGCCTTAGGTGCTGTTGGTACGGGTGCTTTTCATGAGGCCTCGTTCAATTGGGGTCAAAGAAAGGGTGCTGAGGGAGGCTCGTGGCTCTTGGCAAGCCACCACTCCGTGCTTTGTTTTCCTGGTTTTACAGGTACGTGTTAGGTGTTTGCCTATGTCTGTTTTCTCCAGGATTGATGAAGAGCACTGCCTAAATCGGTGCCTTCCCCGTGGCGGTTCGAGGTCACGGTCCCCTTGTTCAGAGCGCTGGGACAGCCGGCAGCACCGTCCTCGTGGGGGTCCGTGGTGGAACACGAACTCCTGCCCTCCCTCCCCGGGCTGTACAGCGTCCAGTGTGCCCTGTTCCCCTGATACCACGTCTAACCTGTTCTTTGGGTCCTTGTTTAGGTGAACATCTGCCTGCCCATTTTCTTCATCCTGGCCTGCTTGTTCCTCATTGCTGTTTCCTTCTGGATGACGCCGACGGAGTGCGCGATTGGCTTTGCCATCATCTTCAGCGGGATCCCTGTTTACTTCTTCGGGGTCTGGTGGCAAAACAAGCCCAAGTGGGTTCTCCAAGGCATCTGTAAGTATTACCAGTGAAGAGCAAGGGTGCAGCCTTGGCTTTTCCTCCAAAAATAGCAGCTTCCCAGCAAGCATGCTGCAGCTGGTAGCACTGGCTCTCCTTCGAGGAGTGGAGGCTTCCAATGTCTTGGCTGTGATCAGTTTTTGTTTAAGGGTAACAAGTTTTAACCTGATGATGACCTTATCTACCAAGCACCCGAAACGCACCCTGACTTGCGATAATTCCAAAGTTTGGGCCAAATACCACGTTGGTTTTTTTAATCCTGGCAAACAGGTGGTTGTTACGCAGCGGCGGGCAGTTCGCTGAGCACGTTGCTGCCTTTTTTCTGCCTGCGGTAAAAGCACAGGGTCAAGCCTCTGGTCAGCAGAGAATCCCTTCCTAGTGGTGTAGGAAGGGAAAAGTAGTAAAAGCATCACAGTCTGAGCACAGTTGGCCTCAGTTTGACTGCTGAAAATTCGTAATTAGTCCCAATCCATCGCTTAGCCAGCGCTAACGTTTCTGATCCGGTCAAAGCTCTCCTCGGCATCAAAATGTGGCAGCAGAGCAGGAGGAGGGGAAAATCCCCTGGATGTTTTCTCTTACGAGGTTTATTTTTAAGGTGTCTTTGTATAAGGCTTTCCAACAGCTGACCCTACACCACGGTGTGTTTTGAAGGGATGGAGAGGCTGCGCTTGGCACACGTAACCTCTGTCTGAACAACCGAATCAAGAAAGTCAGTCTGTGTTGTCCAAGTAACTAAACTCTACCATCTGCCTCCCAGGTCTCGTACGACAGGCTGACCTAGAAAAGCAGACAAGTAGGAATGCCCAGCCGTAGCTGGATGCCTCTTATGAAGTAGGAAAAAGCTTTCAGCAGTGCTCAGCATTTGTTATTCTTCCCCCTGCCATCCCCTCACACGCACACACACACACACTTGCTTTTTTTATTCTGAGTGTTAGGCTCAGTTCCTGGAAAAGCCATTTTTGCAGTGCCTGTGCGGCAAATTACCATATTAATTGTTTTCCACCACCCAAGGCTTGTAAAGAAAATATTCTGGGAACACAGAATGATGATCCTGCAAACGTCCGGTTAGAAACATCCGAGCTGTAACCACGTGTGTCTGTTCATAGGTCGCAGAGAATTCCATCACCTCCAACTGATCTCAGTTTCACTTGGTGTGTATTTAGAATTAGTGTTAGCTTCACCTGGCGAGACGATCTCGCCATCTCCAAACGCCTAGCGAAGCAGCAGAAGGCACGGGTGTGTTGGATACTGGCCACCAAAACTAACAGGGGGGGAAAAAAATAAAGTGTTTATTTTTAGTTTAGCACCTTTCCTGTGCAAACTTGCGCCTGAAATGCTTCCTTTGCTCTTGCTCCGTGCAAGGCAGTGGACTCTGCCGTGTGTTCAGTCTGCTGAGCTGGTTTTCTCCTGGTTACTCCAGCCGTTAAAGAAGCTGTGGGCACACACAGCCGAGGTTTCCAAAACCAGAACTAAAAGCACTGGCTCGTATTTTTTATGCCTGCTATGGTCCATTTTATCCCTGCTGTTGTGCCCGACTCAGTTTTGGCTGCTTGCAGTCCTGGCATCCAAACGTGACCGTATCACCGTGCCGTGAGACACTGGCGTCAGGAGGTACCGGAGCCCCTCTCGGGGCAGCGCAGGAGCAAAGCAGCAGTGAGTGGGTGCGAGCAGAGAGTAGCCCATGGCTCGTTTGCTCTCAAGCCCTAAATTGTGCTTGGACTAATCCTGCTCAGAACCACGGTGGGGAGGCCGATGGGTCGCCCTTTTGAGGCAGAGCGCCGTGAACCGATGATGTATGTTGGGCCCCTGCGTGCGATCTCTGACTTGGCTTTCTTCCCCGCAGTCTCTGCAACAGTCCTGTGCCAGAAGCTGATGGAGGTGGTTCCACAAGAATCGTAAGCAGGAGAAGCAGGGACGTTCGGCTCGAGGAAACGCACAATATTATTTTAAGACGACACAAGGAGAAAATGCCCCTGATCCCTCATAAACGAAACCTTGGCACTGGAGCACCCCGTCGGAGCTGCTTCGCGTCTGACACCGTGTCCCCGGCTCTGCCTTGCCTCCCCCGGCGCCACCCTTTAGCCTGGCAGATGAGTAACCCTGCGATGAGAAGTTCTTGGTATGAAGTGGGCCAGGAGGAGGAATTCCTGCCGGCAGCTTCAAGGGGTCCTGCCCGTCCGGCAGCAGCGAGTCCGATCAGCATCTCTGTGTGTGTGCGTGTGTGATAGCGAGGGCTGTCCTTCAGTTCTGCGTAGGCTTCCTCGGGGTGGGTCTGGGATCCCCCCGATGACGGCAGATCTGCTCGTGAGCCCGGTTTGAGTGTTGCCAGCCGTACAGATGTGCCTGGGGCTGGGGCTGGGACTGTCACAGAGCCGCAGGGTGGTCCTGAGCCTGGCCCGCCTGCCTTTCCTGGTCTAGGCGGGGGGTGGTTGGGAAGCAAAAAGTTGGCTCATGTTGGCTCACGTGCTCACACACACACACACACACACACACACACAAACTCCTACCAAAATACGTGCTGCTGGATGCTTTGGACTCTGTCCACTGGCAGTGACTTCGGTGAGACAAGGCAGAGCAGAATCCGTGTCAGAGAAACGATGCGGGGAGGCCTCGTCTGACCTGCATTGCGTTCCCGACTACAGCCCTTGGGCTTCTCTGCCGCTGTCTGGCATTTAACTCTCAGTTCCAAGCCATCTCCCTGCTCTTGAGCCGGTCCTCTGGGATGCTGGTCACCAGAATGCCCATCCCGTGGCCCTGTGAATTAGCACTGGGGCAGGCGCAGGCCTGAGGGTGGAGTTCCTCCTGAGAAACCCAGGGAAATTAGCAGCAGGCTAAGTCCTCGGCTTGCTCACTCCATGGCTTTTCGTAGATAGGCTCCCATCCAGCCTGGGGTGAGCAACATCATGCTCTCCAAACGGCCCTGTTCGTCGCCCACAGCGTGATTCATGTTTGCCCCTAAACCGTTTGCAAAGAGAAAATGAGGGTGGGATTCCCTTGGCTCGTTCCCTGGGGTGGATCTTGGCATTGCCTGTCGCCGTGCCCCTTCGTCATGCTCGTGTCTCCTCTAGAAGGTGCGGTGGAGATGGGACCAGCTGAGGGTGTAGAAAGGGGCAGGTGTCCCCGGATGGCTGGAGCTTGGCTTTAATCTGGGGCTGCTGTAGATGGTCTGTTTTGCTCTGAGAAGCAGGACCTGGAGGGGCCTGGTCCTCCTTCGTGCAAAACTGCGGCATCAGGTTTGGCTCGGTGGGGTGCCCTCACCAACATCCTCCCGTTGAGGGGAGTGGTCTTTGAGCATGAAGCACAACCCGCCTGTGAAACCTTTTGCTGTTGTGGGTGGTGCAGCCCCATCCCCTGAGCCCACCCAAAATTCCTCAAGTTCCCAAGTAGTCGACACTGTCCTCTTAGGAACGTGTTGCTTTGTTTGCTCAAAAGCATCACCTTTTCAGCAAAACTGCGGTCTTGAACCACTTGCTCCTTACGCTTCTGCACTCGAGGTGATAGTCAGCTGGAAACCAAAAGCCTCTTCTCCCCACAGGGGAGCTGCTTCAGTCTCTGTTACGGATCTGCTTGTGCTCGTGCTTTGTGCAAAGGGGTCGCTGAACTATTTTTTTTTTCTCCGCAATGTTTTTGTAAACCAAGCTGTTTGGAAGCCAGGATCCTCCCAAGAGCTAATGCTCTTGAGTGGATTCCCCTCGTAGCGTATTTTGGATGAAAAGGCATTAAGGACACCAACGGTACTAGCTCATGCTTTGTCCTTTTAAGAAGTTTTTTAGCGAAAAAGAGTTGTGTCATAGCAGGTGGCAGCTTCTGCTCAAGCGTCCGTGCCCATGCCCGTGGCTACGTCAACGCGCGTCTCCGCGCAGCTCGGCTATTGCTTCGCCCACCCCGTGGCTTTGCCTTGAGGCAGGGCAGGAGGAATAGGTGAGACAATCACCGCGCTGAAAACCTTTGCTGTCGGGGAGATCCCCCGGCCGGCTCAGGTGCCTCTTCACAGGGGTTAGCGTTGAGCTCTCCTGGAGCCGAGTGAACCTCCGGAGAGTCGCAGCTGGTTTGGGTGTATATCTACAGTACAGAAGAACCCCAAGTTTCTGGCCAGGGCCTGGCTGTTGGGGGGCCTACATGCAATGAATTGGAGCATCTCAGATCCAGCGCCTGCGGAGAGGCATTTGCATAAACAAGGTCTTGAACCGTCAAACTTCACTCAGTTTTCGGAATCCTCTTCCAGCTGAAGGCCGAGATGTTTTTGGCAGGGTAGTGATGGGAAATCACTGCTTATGCCGGACGTGATTCATGGAGAGAGGACCTCAGTCTCTCACCTTCCACTCGATCTGCAGGGTTTGGGGCTGTGATGGTCTCAGGGCCGTCGTCCCGCAGGGCCTGGGTTCAGCGTAGGGGCTCTCAGTGCTGACACATACCAGCAGAATAACTTGGGATGCAAAGGAAAGGGATCTTCAGCTCTCAGCCACCTCAGCCCAGTGTAAATGAGCACTCAGGTCCAGTCCCCAGAGAGCTCAGAAGTGGGTCCAGATCTCCCAGAGGCAGTGGGGGCTGCTTGGTTTGGACACATCTTTAAGCAGGTTTCATCGGTGATGAAGACCATCACTACACAATATCCTCTTGGTGAACCTTTCACACTGGTTTTAAAGAGATGTCACACCGAGAAATATTTTTTTATTAATTGACTGATCTTAATTAAATCCTTAACTCGCTTGCTTGCTCTTTATGAATCTTCATGATGTTTCACTTGCTGCTAAAGATCTTTCTCTTGTACTAACCTGCTGGCTCTGGCGTTGATACCCAACGTTTCACGGTGATCTCGCCAGCGTCTCCCTGGCAATAGAGGTATAGGAAGAAACTGAACCAGGTACCAGCACAGAATGACAAAACCATTGCATTCGCTCAGCCACAGCTCACATCTCAAAGTTTACCTTCCAAAAACCTGATTTCTTTTATCCCTGATTCATTGACCCCGGTAGTTCCCCTCCACCAGAGCTTGGTGACATGGCTGTAAGAGGCTGGGTTATTTTCTCCTGGAAGTGAGGGAGATAATGAGTGAGGGGGTAAAACTGAATTTAATTTAATAAAGAAAACACCACAAAGTAACTTCTCCAATGGGTGGAACTGCTGCTGACAAACAGCATCTGCTGTCCAGCGCGACGGCTCGTAACAGACTCGGTGTCTGCTGCCCTCAGGGGCTTGCTGTGTTCAGCCGCGGTTTAGTATGGAAAAAGAGGGAATACATCCCTGTGGAAGACCTCCTTGCTGCTTGTTTTCCTCAAATGTGGAATGAGATGTGTCACGGAGGGTGCGGGGCGCAACAGAGACTTCACAGAAAGTTTCTCATCCTTCCCAGCACTGGATGTGGGATTTTTCTGTTCTTTCTCTGTTTGCTTCTGCTCCTTTGAGCCTCTGCTCGGTCGACCCACCAAGGGAGATAAACCCTTCCCGCAAAGGACACGTACAACCACAGTGCCCGTGAGTTTGCTTTCCTCAACAGTAGCTGCAGTTCAAGGAGGCACCGCGTGAATCCATTTCATATGATTCTCGTACAGCCGGAGCGGTCCTGTCTGGAGTCACAGACTCATTGTGGTTGGAAAAGACCTTTAAGATCGTCGAGTCCAGCCGCGGAGCTGCGGCTGCGTGGTTCTGCAAGCGAGGGCTGTGCCCCAGGAGTCCCTTGGTCCTTGTGCTGAACCCCCCCTTTCAGTTATTGCTCTTCTGAGCTCGTTTTTTCTGTATTTAGCCTCCCAGGCAGTCAGTTGTTAGGGGCGCTCGGAGAGCAGCATCCCACAGGGATTGCTAAACAGTAGGGCAGGGGCTTGTGTGTCCTTACCCGTTGGGTTCCTCTTTCTAAATGAGAAGCTTCTTCCCAACGGAGAGAGGAACCAGCCCTGCAGAATGCTCCTGGTCAAAAATGGGGGGGATTTAGGTCATCCTGGGTGGATTTTTTTTTTTTTTAATTAATTTTTTTTTAACTTCCTGTGATATTTGCAGCGTTTGCCATCCCAGATACCACGTTCTGGTAAACAGGCTTTTGTTTTTAATGGCACCCTCTGTGGATACAGAGTTCAAAGGGTTTCTGTCGCTCTTGAACAAACTTTAGAGACCCTTCAACTGGATTGAAACTTGTCAGGAGTGGCTTTGTTGTTCTCCGAGCCCCCTCCCTGCGGGCGGCTCAGCAAGGGGGGATAAATTGGGCTCCTCCATGGGCTCCTCCGCTGTGGGGCTGCCCGAGAGCGGAGCCCTCGAGGGCTGGGGGTGTTCATAGCATCGTGAGGTTGGAAGGGACCTCTGAGATCCTCGAGTCCAACCGTGCTGCAGCAGAGCTCTTCCCCGCGCCCGCGACTTCCCAACCCCTGAGAGATGTTTGCCGTGGCAGGGTCCTGGCCCGCCTGCGGGGAATGGCAGGGAAGGCACTCGGGCTGGGGAGGCACCCGTGCCTTCAGCTGAGGCTACAGTGTTCTTGGGCTTTAATAAAAAATACAAATTAAAAGGAAAAAGAAGAAGGAAACAGCCAAATGTTGTCATTACGCAACGCTCTGGCTGGTCAGGGCTATTCTTGTGCGATGCCGGCTTTCCCCTCGACCGGTTGCACAACTCCGTTCCTAATGGCATCAAAGAGGAAGGCGACGTTGGCCATTGAGAAAGGGCTGGAACAAAGCTTCTCCCTGGAGCTTGGGAAAGGGCAACCCACGGGCGAGACGGCTCCGGTTCCCCCCGCTCCCCGGGGCTCACGCTGAGGTCTGCTGGCCGGCGCCACGACCTCGGCAGAGCCCCCCCTCCGGCCTGAATCGCAGCCTTGTGCCGGCC